CCCTGCCGCGCGAGTCATTGTCTGCGCCGCTGCAGCCCGATGGCTCATCCCCGCTAACGCCCCGCGAGGCCGTGCGGTGGTAATCACCGGCACTGCAAGGACTGCGAGCGCCTCCACCGCACCGGTGCAGGGGCGGGGCGGGGCGAGGCGGGGCGACTCAGCGTCGTGGGGGGCTGCTCGCGCTGGCGGGACCCCCGCCGTGGAAGTCGCGTGGGGCCGCTGACGTGTGCAATATGCACACTGGCAAACCAAACGTGAACGTGTTCATATGGTTATTGAACGAATCAATAATGTCAGAACCTAAAGAAATTGGGCTTAAGCTCGGAAACTGAAGTATCTTGTAAACCTAACTAGAGTCATTGTGTCAGTAAGTACAATCTAACAACACTGGTAAAAAAAATACCACAGGACTGTTAACGACAAGGCCTCAACGACATAATTGTCGTTTGCCAATGACGCTGCAGTTACGACACATGTCGCTACCGTAGCCCTGTAATGTAGCTTGAAGCTCCGCCTGGGCGGCACTGGCACTGTCATTGCGCTTGATGTCAGATCGTTAGCACTTTTATTTATATATACAATTACTTTCATTGTAAGTCGTCACAATGTGACTTGTTGTTGTTGTATTCGTAAATTAATTTTAACTGCAACAATGAGTGTTGCAATCGAACACCGCTCCTTTCAACACCACAACCTTTTCCTTAGTCAATTATGTTTTTGAAACATTTGTGCGGTTTGTAGGGGCAGTGCGTGTGGAGGTTCCTGTTGCTGCAGCTGGGGCGGGCGGCCCGTCGCGGCCATGCCCACAGTGTACAGTATTGCTTCCTTTCTCTTTGAAAAGCCCCTCGCCTCGCCACGCCTCCGCCGCGGCCACCACGCCTAGCAGCCCGATGACTGCCGCATTGTCCTGCGCGGAGGGGTGATATTTCCGTCCCGTGTCCGGTTGCCCCTCCGGCCCGGCCCGGCCAGAACCGACACTTTCTTGTGCCCCAGCCGAGCTCCGCGCAGCCGCCGCCGCGGCGCTGCTGACAAGTACCCTAATCGCACGGACGGGTATCGCCGCGGGGCAACAACATCACCCGGCAGTGCCTGTCCTCCGGAGGCGCACTGCCCGGAGGGACGCGGGACGGGGCCCGCGAGTTCGCACCAGAGGGTATGTGTGCCCGGCCGGGTCTGTAAACTGGTTCGGACGAGCTTGGGGTGGTGGGGCGGGGCGGGGCGGGGTGGGTCAAGGCTAAGTGCAGTGCTGCGCGGTGCAGTGGCGCTCCACGCCGCCCCGCCTCGCCGCCCAGGGCAGCGCGATCATATCGGACTGCAATTACTCTCCACGCCCCACCCCGCCCCGCACGGCCCGGCCGCGCAAGGAGCCAGGAGGCCTGACGTTCACTCGGCGCGATAAGGTGGGATGTAAAATTGGTTATCAAACAGAACGCAATTGACTCTGTCGGCGGCGGTGGGCGTGGCGGGGCTGGGCGGGCTGACCGTAGAGGTAGGTTCTGCGGCCTGTAAGTGGGCGACCTGGCCAGAGGGCCAGGGTAACCGACCGGTCACCACCACAAGGCGCGCGGCGCGGGCGGAGGCCGTCGCGGTGGCGCAACGACGGCCAGGTTGACTCGGCGTGCTCCCCGCCGACATCCGACCCGGCGCGCGCTGCTATGGGCCACACGTCGTACGTAACGCTCTCCGCGGCAGCAGGAGCTGGAGCCCAGCGCGACCACTCTCGGGGCCCGGACCACTCGCCCGCCCCCTGGCTCCGCCAGGCTCTGCCAACCCAACCTGTTTAACGGCGGCGGTGACCCCCTTGGCCCCGCCAGGCACCGCGGAGTACCAGGAGTACGTGGGCCTGGCGGGCCGAGGCGGGCCGGGGCGCGGCTTCTCCAACGCTGCAGCGCCGAGCATTACATTGCTACTTTTTGTTTAACTGCCGATAGTAAAATGAGGCGTCGGAGCCATTACAACTTTGTCGCGGCGGTGGCAGTTTGAGCGACACCAGCCGCATGGCGGGGTGTGGTGGGGTGGAGGTGGAGGTGGGGCGGCGGGAACCTTAACGCCCGCCCCTGGGCGGCTCTGTCGCTTTCACTCAGGCGCCCCGCCCCGCCCTGCCCGCGTCCTCCGCACCCGCAGCCCGCTTTACCTATCGGAAGCTCCGCGCCGCCGCCGCCGCTGTGCGTCACAGCCCCTCCCCTCTCTTTCCTCCCCGCCCCCCTCAAGGCCTCGAGGGGCCGCTCGCCTCTTAATATTTCACCCGTCCAATAACTGTGGGGCGGGCTGGCGGGCGCCCGTGTGGCGCACGTCGGGACGTCGAGGGCAAGGCGCTGCAATTAATTCATTCCATTCCATCTCTCGCAACGCCGCCCCGCCCGGCCCCGCCCTGCCCCGCCCCGCCCCGCCAAGTACGAGCAGCGCACCGCACCACCGCCTCGCGGCCGCGACGCGCTTGCGAACCATCCATCACAGCAGCGCCACACTCTCTCGCCCTCCTCCCTGCTCTCTTGGCCCCCCGTTCAGTAGACTAGTTCCCCGGCCGGGGCAGCTCGACAGAATGTTTTAGAGACAGATGATGACGTAGACATAAGCTGCGCGACCTGCGGCGCGGAGCGCGGAGTTGAGTCGGGCGCCGCGTATGTACAGTACCGATGGATGGTGTCGACGACTGGATCCTCCGGCCGAAAAATCTCGTGCCGGAAACCGGTCTGGTTATTGCGCACTATACCCTGCTGGCAGAGGATCCCGCGGCCGACGCCGCGCCGCCGCCCACCACGCGGGATGGCTCCTTTTGCGCG